TGATCCTATTGAAGCCTTTTTCTCAGTAGGTTCTTTCTACAGAGAATTCCTCTTTACAAACCCTATATTTTATAATCTTAATGCTTTTGTAAATTTGATATGAATGAGGCATCTAAGAGCTCTCTATCTAAGTTCTTAGCTTTCTATCCTTGCACCTTCTTTGGGCAATCTCTCTCACAATTCATTTTTAAATCTGCCCCTTTCAGGAATGGGTAAGTTAAGAGGATAAGTAAAGGGGAGGAAAAATTCCAGAAGCTAATTCTGCCAATCTTAGGGCAGAATTGGGTGCTTTAATTAAAAGAAATGAACAAAACAAACAAACAAAAAAATCAAATGTATTTAAATTGCATTAGTGACCAATCAGGAAAAAAAAAATAGTTGTCAAGACAAACAAATTATCTATTTTAGGAAACAATTACTGTAAGACCACATGAAAGATAAGCATGTTTTCCAGTACAAATTTCTTTGAGGACAAAGTATCTTTCCAAATTTTCTATGAATGAATTTCTTTTCTGAATCCACAAAAGGAAGGTCAAACTTTAAAAAGAATTTAAATGTGTTCTACTTAAAACCCCATTAAATGTAGTTTAGGAAAGGCAATGGCTAAGTAAATATGTCCTTCCCAATCCCTTTATTTTAGAGAATTACTTATGAAACTAGTCATTAATACAACTTAAGCCAAAATAGAAAAAGATTAGAAAAGATTAAAGCATCAAGTAATATACTTAAAAGAATATTAAAATGCCAGATAAAGAATAAAGTCTCATTAAATGTCCATCAATCCAAGAAAAATACAAAACTGCAATCATTACATTATACACAATTATTCAACAAATGCTCATGGAGGGCTTACTATATCACAGCAGAGCACTGGGCTGGCCATTGACAAAGACCAGAAGATGATATAGCCTTTGCTCTTGAGGCATGTATAATCTTTATGCAGTAATTGCAGATAGACACAAACACATCAGCATAATAATAATGCATTAGTCCAGTCTTTCTTAAATTTTAATCTGTTTAAGAATCATATGAGTTATTCAGTTAAAATGTAGGCTCTACAGCCTCACCCTGAGAGATTCTGATTCTGGGGTGTAGTCTAAGAATCTTAGGGATTTGGAAGCAGGAATTCCATGAATCATATTTGAAGAAATTTTGCATTAGATAGAAATGTCATTAAGGAAGTGGCCATGTCTGTCCTAGCACAGAGCCTGGTACATAGTATACCCTTAGCCAATACATCTGAACAAATGAATGGATATCTATGTTTAAGCTCCACAATGAATGATGCAAACAAAATGTGACATAAAAATTCAGAAATATAATCAGCTCCTCTCTTTAAAAAACAGGTTCCCTTGGGTAAAGTCATAAACTACTACAAATGACTCTGTGCACAGTATTGCATTCAGAAATGTTCCTCTCTGTGGAATGAGGCCCTGGAACTGAGTAAATATGACTGGACCCTTCTGCCTCAGGGTAAGTTCATTTCCCTCCTGTTCACGGGTAGCATCTGGACCCAAGGGCTGGCCCACATTCTTCTGAATAGAGTTATTGTTCTCTCCAAGAGAGACATATAACTCCACGATGCCTACCCTGGCAGACTAGAATTCCTCTGGCGGACAGGCAGAATAACTCCTCTTTTAGGATTCTTAATACAGAAATGTAAATGAATTATAGTTCTAAAAGTAAAATACATCAAAATTGCAGTGGAATAGTTGAGCATATAAGGAATTGACTGTTATATATTTCTTTACAAAACTGAGTCACTGGCTCAGATTTCCACTGAAGCAGTGATTATTATTTTAAAATAGCCTGGCAGATTTTCTTTCTGAAGTTATGGAGCAACTTCAAACATGTCACAGCCGCACTGATTTTCACAAATAGCTACAAGTAAATTAATTTTTTAGAACAAAACAGGTAAGTGAATTTAAAGGTATAATCACATGTTTAGATGGTTATAAAATATTAGAAATGTTTGAAAATTCCAAGAATGTTATTAGCTTTGGAAAGAAGGAACTAGATAAGAAGGTTAAATGGGATGGACAAAAAAACAGGTGAAGAGAAAGAAAGCACATGGTGGGGAACAGCGGAGAGAGGGGAAGAACTGTGAGCAAGCATTTCATTTCAGGTATGTCAGTGTGGAGAACGGAGCACTGGGAAGCTGGGTGTGGTTCCAGTCAAGGAGCTGCCCTAGGAAGGAAGAGGACAATCATGATGAGATGAAAGGGATTGAGACCTACGATTTAGGTGTGTTAGATGAGACCAACTCTGAAACTTCTCCAGAAGTAGAGCAGTCAGAAAGGAAAAAAACAAAGAAAAACTGCACTGCTATTAGAGAGCTGTGTGTTCTGATCTATCATCAACATGCAGAGTGACCTTGAACAAGTCATTTAGCATTCATTATCCCCTTCATAAATTGAGATTTGGAGTTCAATGACCTTTAAGATTCCTTACAGCTTTAATTTTATGTCTGTATGGAATCCTATTGTCTAAGGAGAGAAAAGAGAGGGGAAGAGAAGAAAGGAGGACAAGAGAGACATCTTTGCAAGGGAAAAAAGGAGTCCACGTGGAACATGTGCCGGAAGAAACAGCAAGTTACAATTCTGGAGTGGTGTGTTGAGATGCAGACTGCCCTATGTCCTGTAGCAAGAAGAGATACAGTGTCTCCTCCAAACCTCTAGTAATTTCACTTGAGAAGGGAAATTGTAGATGAAAAGTTGCATTCAGGAAAATTTACATTTTTTGATATGTAAAAGTCAATTTCTTTTTAATGATTTTACACTGATTTCAAGAAGTTCTCTATTGTCCAGTAGGATATACCTAACCTTACCTCTCCACTAGCTCTCTACAGAAACCTATTCAGACTTGGAACACAGCAATATGATGTTTCGCTTTAAGGTTTGAGTTCAAATTTTAAAATTTCAACTACCATCCTTTTGGGAAACTATATATACACATATATTAAGATATCTATATAGAGAGACATAAACATACATGCAGACACATATATATGTGTGCATATATATGTGTCTATGTATTATGTCTCAAATTTAATGAGCATGTGACAAAACATCGATGCAGTCATATTGCTTTTCAATGCCTCAGAAATTTGTTAAAAAGTAGAGCTCCCAGGAAAGAACAGGAAGATCACTGGACTGCACGTATGGTCTTAAAGTCTCCTGTGTTCTCCTATAGCCTTCAAACCACGCGACAGCCTTTTAGACTCTGATCGTAGTGCTAATTCTTGCCCTCAAGGCACTGACTTCACTTTTTTGCCTATTATCTATTATGTATGTTCTATATTTTAGGCCGTATGACCACATAAGTTTAGTAAACATTAAATTAATTAAATTTATTT